TTTTAAAAAAAAACATGACAAAATGGAACGTTAGAACTATATGGTGGCTTTGAATAGTTTGAAAATAATAGGGTCACCATCATTCTAAGCAGTATTTATTATACACAGTTGCTGCTTAATTAGTTTAATCCTCGAAGACAAGGCGTACTTAATGTCTGGAATATAAACCCATAATTTATAGCTTTGTTCTTTCGTACTTTGACATTGGAGATTATATATATATATATATATATATATATATATATATATATATATATATATATATATATATATATATATTTATTTATTTCTCTGTCTCTCTCTCTTACTCTATCTTTCTTTCTCTCTTTTACCGAGCAAAAAATACATTTACAGGTGCATTTTCCATGGTACTACTCATGAACATATTTCCGTATTTCATTAACGAACTGAATTAAAACTAAAAATATAATTAAAAGACAAAAGGAATATTGGCGAACACCATGAACGTAACAAGAGTTTTTTTTTTTTTTTTAAAATTATTATTGAAAAAAAGTTAACTGTTATTTTAAGGCTTTTATTGTTTTCCAGGTGTATGGCTGGTATGACTCAAGGAGACCAGTGATGGTTGTTAGAGACCTGGACATGGTCAAAGATATTTTCGTCAAGAACTTTTCCAGCTTTGCTGACCGGCACACTCTCTTCGACGTGGACCCACCGTTTCGCGACAATCTCCTCAACTTGAAAGGTGAACACTGGAAGCATGTCCGAAACATAGTCACTCCGACATTCAGCTCTGGTCGAATCAAGAAGATGACGTCACACATTCAGAAAAACGCCAAAGTTTTGTTAGAAAACATTCAACACTTTTATGAAACTGGACAGGAAGTTGAGCTGCGCGATCTTAGTTCCTGTTTCACTTTGGACGTTATCGCTAGCACTGGGTTCGGTCTAGAGGTTAACACTCTCAAGGATCCCAAAAACAAGTTTGCCGCCGAGGCTAGAAAAGTGATCAACCCAAATCCAATTTTATTCACGATAATATTATTCATCCCTGAGCTGACCAAGATTTTCTCAAATTTAGGTTTTCCCATCTTGCCACAAAAGTCCATGGTCTACTTTGCAGACGTGGTGGATCAGATCATAGAAGAAAGAAAAAGAGATGGACTCCATGGGAAAGTCAACGACTTCCTAGATCTCTTAATGAATGCTGAGACTGAAGAGGGACATGAGGAAGGGAGAGAATTAACAAGATCAGAGATGCATGTAAGTTACCTCGAAATAATTTTTTAACTCTTTCACTCCTAATTGACGATGCCAACGTTGATTTGACCCCTTTAAATTTAATTGATTAAGGATTTATAAACTTTAATTTGTGTTCTTAAAAAAGAGCATACATTCTCCTATAAGACAATACCAAATATAACGTTTTCTGATAAAAAAAAAAAGTTTTTGAAGTTTTATCATATTATGATAGTGAAATACTAATGAGCAAAATGAATAATAGTATCCGAATGAGGAACAAATTACGGCGAGAAAGAGTTAAAAGTTAAAATTCATTTTTATAGGCTCATTACAATATTATTTATTTTTCCTTTATGATTCAACAAACAATATTGACTCATAGCTATTTGTGGACAGACAACGAGCTATTGGTCTAAACTGCCCACAATTAAGTTTAAATTTAATACGGGAACAGGAAATGTGTAAAAGAAATGCATGGATATTCTGAAAGATTTAATTTTTTAACTATACATTTCATCCATTAATACTGAACAAAAATCATAAAGTTCAACACATTTCATCTCTGATATTTTTTTAAAGATGATTAAATGCACTAAAAAATTGTATTGTTTAAATTATTTTGCGTCCCGCGAAATAAACTAAAAAAGAGGAACCACTAACGTGCTGATCTTGCATCTAATTTACAAACAGAACATAGAACGATCACTATGAGATAAAAAAAATTTTAAGATAAGATAAGATAAGATAAGATAATTTTATTGATCCAATCAAATGAAAATTCAGTTTCACTACAGTTGACAACATCAGCGTAACTACTGTACAATAACAGTATAGATGAAAAATTGGAACAACATTCACACACGAAACACAAATACATTCACAACCAGCGCTTTATGAATTTAACCTCTATGTACTTCTCGATGACGACAGATGATCTTGTAACACTCTGATCGAAAGTGGCATAAAGGAGTTTTTAAATCTTTCAGTTTTAGTTCTAATGGAAAAGAGACGACCACTTCGTCCAGATCTGATGTAACAGTGGTTTAATGGGTGCAGGTTGTTCTTAAGAATCGAGAGCGTTTCGGAAAGGCATCTTTCATGAAAAAGCTTTTCAAGAGATGGTAGCTGTATTCGAGTGATATGCGATGCTTTTTTAAGTAGTCTATTTAGTTTAAGTCTTTAACAGTACAAAGCGGATTGTGAAATACATAGCCCCTATAAAATATACCAAACTATTCCATGAAAGTAACGCCGCACTGAAATAGTTTATAAAAAAAATAACAACTTTATTAATTTTTTACCTTTTCATTATACATCTAATCCATAAAATATGGAAAAAAAATCACACAACTATACAGTTCGTCCATCGTGGTTCGATGATGACCACTTTTGTCATGTTTGGCTGCACACCGGGCAGGCTATTCCAGCTGGAGCTAGTGTCATTGTCCTTATCATGGTCTAAAAGGGGAACTTTACATCTTTTTTCACCTACTGAGGATGGAAGGCAACTAGTCTGATTACCATTGCTATCACCTGGTGGTATGGTAATACTTCACTGGCACAAACAATTTACTAAATTGACAAATTAAAAAAAAACAAAAAAAACCATCGTATATCATTCGAACACGGCTACCATCTCTGGAAGAACTTTTTCATGGAGGCTGTCTTTCCAAACAAAACATACAGACAATTAGCACCCATTAAACTACACCTATTCAGATCTGGACGAAGCGGTCGGCTCCTCTCTACTAAGGAAAGAATTTGAAACTCTCGTTGAGTGGCGAGGTGTTTCAAGGCGAAGAAGTACATAGAAGCCTAATTCATAAAGGGCTGGTCGTGTTTGCGTTTGTGTGCGTTTCTGAATATTTATTATTATTATTATTATTATAGCTTTTATATAGCGCTATTATCATGCTACCACCTTGTGGACCAGTGGGGGGGGGGGGGGGGGAGGGGGTATCTAGGAGTTGGTCTTACTTGCTGCCTTTAGGCGCTCACAACTCTGTCCGAGTCGGGTGTCGAACCTTGAGCCCCCTTCTAGGTAGCCAAGACAAGCCAAGTTCAAGCGCACTTAGCCTCTCGACCATGCTGTTCGTTGTAATCATCTATACTGTTATAGGAGTAATGTTGAGGTGAACAATTGTAGTCAAACTAAATTTTAATTTGTTTAAACCAATAAAATTATTATATCTTATCTTATCTCTCTTATCTTATCTTACGTCTTGAAATAGAAGTTGTTTACAAGCTTTCTTTTTTTTTTCCAACAGGCTCAAGCCCTTGTTTTTATTTTTGCTGGCTTCGACACAACGGCTACAGTTCTATCGTTTACTTTGTTCTACATTGCCATGAACCCGGAAGTTCTAAAGAAGGCCCAAGAGGAGGTGGATGCTAAATGTGGCCAGGAGTTGCCCACGTACGATGCGGCCCAAACATTGACTTACCTTGATATGTGTATCAATGAGGCTAATAGGTTGGCCAGCCCGGCCATATTCATTAACAGGACATGTGTCCAGGATGCCTACATTCAGGACATTTACTTTCCCAAAGACATGATAGTTCTTATACCATTGTATGCCATACACGGTGACCCGGAAATATACCCAGAACCTGACAAGTTTGACCCTGAACGGTTCAATTCTGAAAACAAAGCCACAAGACATCCATACGCTCATTTGCCTTTTGGCCAAGGGCCAAGAAATTGTATTGGAATGAGGCTGGCACTGTTGGAACTGAAGATTGTCATCGCCGCCATATTACAAAAGTTTACCCCTGTACCTTGCAGCAAAACAGTCTATCCAATCAAATTAAGTAAAATGCAGCCCAGAGCGCAGGATGGGCTGTGGGTTAAATTTGAACAAAGAAGGAAATAGATATAAATGTTCCTAGTCGTATAATGTGTATGCATTAAGGTCCACAACTGGCCAGCGTAAGTTCTCGTAACACCAACAATTAGCGTTCAATAATTATAATATTATCGTGTGAATATTGTGAAAAATTGTCGGCTATTAACAATGTTAATATAGGGTCTTTATATTAGCCGTCTATTTGAACTTCGAGTGTAAAGCTGTTTTGTTCCGAAATGAACATCATTTAAATTACCTTAAGTCGTTCAAACGGAGCGGTGGTGACAGCATTGTTTCTAGGTCCTGTCACATAATTCTGTCTACTTGAAAACATCCCTCCCCCCAATTACTATATGGGGACTACTTTCACCCTCTTCTGTGCCTTAGTCTTTTTGACCGTTTGGGTACCTCCCCCATCCCCGTGTGACCTGCTGGACATCTCTCCGTTCCTTTCTGTCCATTGCCAGAATTAAAGTCTCTTTCATTGACAATTGGTAAATGTTTGGGGCTTTTCAATGTAGCTTGTCTTTATCTGAGGATATCCCCCAAATGCTAATTACAAGTAAATGATCATACATATCATTTGAGGCTGATATTGTTTGGAAGGGGTAGGATCGGATGTTTGCTGATAATTTAAACGATGTGTCTATAAACTGTATTCTTTAGATAGTTACTTTATCCTTTCAATCTAATTGATTTCCAGATGAAGTTGAGTTTCCCCTTTCAGACCTTGCGATCTATTGGGCAGATGATGTAAAAGGTCAACCAACCTCCTTTACTACTTAACCCTTCTCCCCAAATAATGTCAGGTACCCATTAGTACTGGGTGGACTCAGAGGCACCAAAAGAACCCGAATTTGAAAATCCCAGTATTCACCAGGATTCGAACCCGGGACCCCGGTTCGGAAGCAAAGCGATTTACCGCTAAGCCACCGCGCCTCGCAAATGATTCAAAAAAAAAAAAATTGAAGGTTGGTAACAATTACAATAATTCATTTGTTTATCTCTTAATCAAATTTGCAGCCCGTCGTCCTTACAAGAGTGGGGACTGCGAACAAAAAATCCCAATAAAAAAAAAGATCCCCATAATCCCCTACATGGGGGTCAATGTTTCCATCTTGGTCCAAATGTAACCAAAGTTTAAGGTTAAATAGTTCACGTTGTACATGTGCTTCTTGGATGTTGTCACCAAGTCTTACCTGCTGAAGTCCACTTCAATGCCTGCCATGTGATCCTTGTTGGCGATTTACGTACGATATTTATGGATTTAATAAGAAAACCTTTGGCAAATATTTATTTTCTCAAATTTAATAAATATTCTTGTTATCTATGATTATGTTTCAATGTTTTTAAAAATTTTACTTTTGAAAATCTTTTTAAAAACTTTTTTATTCAATAAAAACATTCATGTTCGATCTTTATCGTTCCCGTTTCTTTTTGCTCTTAATAACTAATTAATGTTAGATTTAAAAACAAAAGGCGTATACACCCGTAAAGTCCTTTGAAGATAAATATTTTCTTGTTCTCTCTAGCCAAATTTAAATTTATTTCTTTTTTTACTTTGAAAAATTATAACGGTCAAACCAGAGTTTTCGCACTGTGGTCAACGAGCTAGTAATCCTTTCCACAACTTTTAAATTGTTATGAAAATTGTTAAAGCCGTTTTCGAGTTCCGTGTCTACCTACCAGTTATTTTTTTTATATTTTTTTTCCACGAAGGTACGAATTGAATAGAGGTATTGTAAAAATAGGCATAATATTACAGTTATTGTCTGTTCGTTATATAACTATCTCGGGTTTCTAATCTATTGGAAGTTATCTAAAATGCATCTTGATGGGTCAAGTAGTATTTAAGTTTACACTCCAAGTTTAACATTCGATAAAGTCCAGTAGGAAATCGGTGCTCAAGGCGCCTTTGTTCCGTTGACCTCCGGAAAGGATTTTATCCAACGGACAGGCGTGGATCGGTATTTCTTCATCCCAAGTGAACCCTGAAGGTTCCACTATGGCGGCGTTAAGTACTGGGCTCGTTCGTAAGTGTTACACCCTCTGCTCGCTGCAAGAAACCGGAAGCCACGATAATTATGGGGGATTGCTTCATATTCTTATTCGTTTACCGCCAGAATGTCACGTGAGAGCCGCCAATCCAGGTTCTGCTACTGATGACGACTCCCTTGTAGAACGGTGTGGTGGATTTATCTTATCTTATATAATATCGGACTGGTTTGCCGGGTCTTTCTTCCATCCTCAAGTGAGATTTAAAAAAAAAGCTCACACAAGGTAACCCGATGATGACCTATTTCGCTTCCCGCCATTGGCCAATCTAAATTTCACTACTAGACGTTTCCATGGAGACGCCTGGATGTGGATGCTGGAGCTGAAATACTCTGACAAGTTTAACCCTGTGCCCTGTGTATTAATCATACGCGATCAAATTGAAAACAAACAACAAAAGTTATCTTAAAGCAATTTTATTAACATTATAAGCAAAGGCAACTGTTTTAAGAGTCTGGAGTAATGTAAATTAATAATATCGCTATGTCGGAATCTGTTGTAGAGACTGTAGTTTAGACATAGCTAAACAGACAGTGGATGCTAGGCTTTCTGAAAAGTAACATCTTGAACGTTGTAGTGACTGAGACCTGACTGTTCTACTTCTGTATTAAATATTGATATTGGTGGACTTAGTCTATTCAGTGTGAATATTTAGTGCCTATGACTGTAGGTCTGTCAAAACGAGCTAAGCTAAAGTAATAGTAGGCTCACAGAAATATTTAAGCTATCTACTGGTCAATACAAACTCTACAAACCCAGATTAGACATAGTAAACTCTAGATTTTCGTAATGGACCTCATTCAACAATCGTAAACAAACAACATTTAGTCACGTGATCTTATTGATAAAAGAACGAAAAAAACTGTCACATGACAACCATCATGAATTAAACATTAGATCGTAAATTATATACAAGAGATAGAGCACCACGTGGCTAAATGTTGTTTGTTTACGATTGGTGAATGAGGTTCATTTATATTTTTAAACCTGATTTAATGTTGTAGTCTGAACGATACAAAGCCGCATGCAAAGCTTAAAATATATTGGATAATTTTATAAAATGTATCCACTCACCTATTTTATTTCAACAAATTAAAATATAAAACATTTAAAACATCAACATTATTGAATACACATAAGGTTACTTTGAAGTAAAATATTACTTCCTGAAGTCAGCATTGAATCATCCATACTAGACGATAAGAAATTTTTAATTCTGCTAGCAAAAGTAAATAAGGAAACCCGATAATAAAGGTTGTCAAAATAACAAGTGCTTAGTACAGTAACCGTTCTTACATATACATTCTTCTAAAATATGCATTTCTATCAAAACATTAAATCATTGTCTATATGTTGAAGCTCACACTCCATACAGTTCAAAGTTCTGAAGAATCCCTAGTGTAAAAGAAGATTCTTTTAAGTTTCTAAATCAAAGCACGATTAAAGTTCCATACCTTGCGGGGCCTGGCAATTTTCCTAAATAATTTCTACGTAGTAGAAAGGCCTCTTTACGATGTAACGGTAATAATCTCGGAATCGTATTTATTTGTTCTCCAAATTAAAGTGAATCTCAGCCTGTCATCTATTTTATTTCCTTCCAAACATGGAAATCGAAGCGCTTGGATTCCGAACCGAAGGGTCATGGATTCGAATCCCGGTGAGGACTGGGATTTTAAATTTCCAAATAGTCTTTTTGAGTCCACCAAGCTTTTGTTGCTACATGACATTAGTTGGAGAAAAGTAAAGGATGTTGGTCGATAGGACACCCTCGTTAACCGTGGGCCACAGAAACAGATGAACCTCATATCATCTGCCCTATAGACCGCATGGTCTAAAGGGGAAACTTTAAATACAAGGAAATGATAACATTGACATACAATCCAGGTACGAGAGAATAAAAAAAGTAATAAAAAATTGATGCAAAAATGATAATATACATGTATAGCTTTTATGGTTATAGCATACTCATAGTGCTATGGTCCAATCTCATTTGTGGACAAGTGGGAGTAAGGAGGTATCTGGGAGAAGGTTTTCCGTCCTGCCTTTAGGCGTCAGTAAACACAACTCTGCTCGAGTCGGGTGTCGAACACGTAGCCCACTCCATATGTAGCCAAGTCAAGCCAAGTTCAAGCGTACTAAGCTTCTTGACCACGCCTCCCACAAGAATACAATAAACCAAAAATGTACCCTTTCTCACACAAACGTATAAACTGTCCTGATAGGATCAACGTACAATGTTTTATTCCCCCCCCCCCCCCCCCCTCCGAACATCACACAAAAGAACAGTTATTAATTTTATATAAAATTTAGCCATTTATCTCTTAAAGTCGATCCGCTACAGACAAAAAGAAAAAAATACATTCCTATTAAATAGATCAACTCAGCACAATTTTAGATATTCGATTACTTCTTTCTTTGTTCAAACTTCATCCACAATCCATCTTGGGCTCTGGGCCAAACTTTACTTAATTTGATTGGATAGACTGATTTACTGCAAGGTACAGGGGAAAACTTTTGCAATATGGCGGCCATGACAATCTTTAGTTCCAACAGTGCCAACCTCATTCCGATACAATTTCTTGGCCCTTGGCCGAAAGGTAAATGAGCGTATGGATGTCTTGTGGCTTTGTTTTCAGAATTGAACCGTTCAGGATCGAACTTGCCAGGATCAGGGTATATTTCTGGGTCAGAGTGTATAGCACAGATAGGTATGAGGATGATCATGTCTTTTGGGATGTGAATATCTTGAATGTAGGTGTCCTGGACACATCTCCTATTGATTACTATGGCCGGGCTGCCGACTCTAATAGATTCATTGATACACATATCAAGGTAGGTCAATGTTTGAGCAGTATCGTAAGTTGGAAGATCCTGAAGGCATTTGGCATCCACTTCCTGCTGAGCCTTCTTTAAAACTTCCGGGTTCATGGCCAGGAAGAACAAAGTAAATGATAAAACTGTAGCCGTTGTTTCGAAGCCAGCAAAAATAAAAAGAAGAGCCTGTGCCTGGAGATAATGAACAGCAACCAAATAATGAACAAAGTATCAACACATACAGATCAGTTCTAGAAAATGAAACGAAAACTGCTATTGAAAATGAAACTAAAATTTCTCATCGAGTTTTTTAAAATCATTATTTTTTTAAAGTTCCTAATGGATATAGAAAAAAAAGTTTTCAGAGCTGGGAAAAGTCTTAAAATCCCGCTAGATCTCTTGCACGATAAACGGTGTTGAAAATTTTATAGCAGGCTAGTCTTTGGGGATTTGTTTTCATTTGCACATAGTTATAGCTATTATTATATTTAGCTAAGGCCTACCATATGATTAATGTAATTACATAAGGAGCCTTGACGAGTCTTCCCTGTAGCTGAAATTACTATTTGTCAAAAAATGTTTTATTTTTAGGCCAGTGCAGGACGGGTTTATGTCCCTTTGTTTCGTAATTGGCACAGTTCAAACCGAGACCAATGAACAAAGTAAGTCTTGTCAACGTGCTATTGGCATCCACTGACCATTGGTCTCCTTCAGACTAAACTTCAGCTTACGAGGTCCCCTCACCCCACCCTCCAGTGGGGAGAAAGATAAAACTGTTTCATACTTTTATCGTATGTCCAAGACTTGCTTAAGTCTGGTAGGACACATGATCCAGGCCTGTATGGCAACGTACGTACATTGTCCAACAAAAAAGACTTGAGCCGTTTCCAACTTATTGATATGGAGTTTGATGATTAACTCAGTTCATATAGTAACGTAAGGTATAAAAAATGAATAAAATAAAATAATATATATATATATATATATATATATATATATATATATAAATCAGTGTTACTCAAAGTAATCAGGGTTTCAAAAATAAAATATTGGAACTTCTAGAGGTATGACATGACTAACTAAAAGTGTTTTTTTTTTTTTATGAAGACATTTTAAAATTTCTCCGCTAACTCGATTTTAATTGAATTTCTTCAGAGAGTCGTCCATTGTCCTATTAACCAGTAACATAAATACACACAATAATTTATCCAGCACAACTAATAGATATATCCCAAATAATAATCATGTGTATTTAAATCCGTAATTACTGTTTTGCGATACTAAGGCTTTAGGAGACTATCTCGAGGAGAAGCACGTATGGCATTGTATCTGCTAGATAACCTCAGGCAGCTTTTGCACCTGAGTTGGTGTCAAATGCAATGCGAAGTTAACTTTTGAATCAGATCAGCAAGGCCAAGAGAGGGACTAAGATGCAAGGGCCACCCATGATCTCTTATTACAAGACCCAGTAATGCGCCGTGGATTGGTACTTCTAGTGCTGCTGCTGTTAAAATTCATCCTCCTTCAAGCAGAATGATTCAAATGTTGTAGCATTATAGCTCTCGAAAAAATATCCATATTTCTACATTATTCTCTCGAATTGAAAATCAAAATTTTGCGCGATAGTACCACATATGAAACAAAAATGAAACCTATATATATGCAAATTTGAACCCTTTTTTGTTTTTTCTTTTTTACAACTTACATGTATCTCTGATCTTGTTAACTCTTTGCCTTCGCCATGTCCCGCTTCAGCCTCGGCATTCATCACAAGATCTAAAAAGTCGTTGACTTTTCCATTGAGTCCATCTCTTTTTCTTTTTTCTATGATTTGATCCACCACCTGGGCGAAATAGTCCAAAGACTTCTGTGGAAAGATTGGAAAGCCTAATTTCGAGAAGATCTTGCCTAGCTCCGGTATAAAAAGTACGAATGTAAAAAGTACAGGGTTAGGGTTTATGACTTTCTGTGCCTCTGTGGCAAATTTATTTTTGGGATCTTTCAGGGTATTAATCTCCAGACCAAACCCGGTGCTAGCGATAACGTCCAACGTAAAGCATGCACTGAGATCACGCAGCTCAACTTCCTGTCCAGTTTCACAAATGGGCTGAATGTTGTCTAGCAATATTTTAGCGTTTCTGTAAATGTGTGACGTCATCTTCTTGATACGACCGGAACTGAACGCTGGAGTGACAATGTTACGGACGTGCTTCCAATGTTCACCTCTCAGGTTTAGCAGGTTGTCTCGGAGCGGTGGGTTGACTTCGAAGAGATTGTGCCGGTCGACAAAGCTGGCAAAGTTCTTGACAAAAATGTCCTTAATCATGTCCAAATCTTTGACAACCAGCACTGGATTTCTAGTGTCATACCATCCATACACCTGTCGGAAACAATATAGAAACATTTGAGAAGTAGATTAATGACAGAAATGGGAATCAAATTAGAGCTTTTCTTTACACCCAGAAAAATGTCAGTTGTTAAGAGTAACAAAGAAACTAAAACAAATTAATTCCACTTATCTTATTCATGGCAAACGAGTAACACAGACTAAAAACGCAAAATATCTAGGTGTTATAATAAATAAAAAACTGTCATGGAATCCCCATATTGATGAAACTATTAAAAAATCAAACAAAGCATTAGGGTTTATTAAAAGAAATTTCTATAAATCAAATAAGAACATAGAATCAAAATGTTATTTAACCATTGTTAGGACAATAATAGAATATGCATCCTCTGTTTGGGACCCCTAAACTCAAGAAAACATTAAGAAACTGGAACAGACACAGAATAGAGCAGAGAGATTCATAACAAATGCATATTCAAATTTGACTAGAGTAACACCTTTAGTAAAATCACTAAATTTAGAAAGCCTTCAGGGTTGGAGACTCAAAAGTAAAGTAGCAATTATACATAAAACACTGAACAAATACAAAAACAAAATTTAATAAAATACTCAGAAAGACACAAATATAAAGGCTCATTCCTCGTCCCACATGCTAGGATAAATTCGTACAAATGCTCCTTCTTCCCTAGTGCTATTAGAGCATGGAATGGGTTGCCTGAGCTAGCCAGGAAAACCAGTGACTTGGCAGGATTTAGGTCATTGGTTAATATGTATGACTAAATGCATGACGCGTAGGACGTAATCATCTTCTTTTTGTGAAGTAACGTCTGTATTTATAAGACAAGAAACTTTTTAGAAATTGTATCTTAACGTCCTTAATCTAATCTATGAAACTTTTAACATGTAGATGCAAATTAAATGTTTGCGAATAGAAATAAAATTAATAAAGACCAATAATTTACAGAGAAAATGCTGAGTTAATTACCTTTTTATCCTTGTATTTATTGTAGAAGATCTTCTGAACTTCACTAATGCCATACTTGATGGTCAGGTTAAAGTTCCCGAAGAACCAGGAGGTCGGCGGATGTTCAATGCCCATTTTCTTGAAGACTCCATGATTCGCGGTCATGTACTTGTAGAAGGCAAATGCTGATAGCAAAACTACAGACCCGATGAGTGCAAGAGTGATCATGGTGGGTAGTTAATCTAAAGTTTTGAAGATAGTAACAGTGGCATTGATCTCAATATAGATCTATATCTAATATATATAATTAAATGTAAATTTTAACTTTGGTTATGGGATTTTGTTTTATTTACTATTCAAAATAAATGTTAAAAAATACCTTTTAGAGCTTAAAAATAAGATGACCAGCCATGGGCGCCCGCAGGCAGGTGCAAGGAGGCGCACGTGCACCCCTATGGATTCTGCGTAGCCAAATTTTAGCCAAATATTTTCCTCCATCAAGTCATTTAGTTTTTTTTTAGTAGAAACTTAACAAGTAGTGTTTCCACTAAAATACAGTTTTAAGGATACGTTATTATTGTAATAGGGATGACTGGCTAATCAAAGGTTGATAACGCTTTATTGCAGGCTTGTAATTCTTTACCATTTCCCAAACTAATGTCAGGTACCCATTAGAATTGTTTGAACTAACTGGCGCCATAATAACCCCAAAATTCAAAATCCATGACTTCACTGGGAATCGAACATGATTTCCCTCGGTTTTGGAAGCCAAGCGCTTTACAATTCAGCCGCCAAGCCCGGAAGGAATAACCAGGTTTTCATCTTATTCTTAACATTGTGTCACACCTGCCCACTTTAGGTTTATAGTTAACAATAGTGTGGTTAGCACAATGACTAGTAGCCTTCAGTTAATACAATAATAAGAATTAAAGTAGCTGAGTTAGGATTACCTTAACTTCCAGAGTTTAATTCCTAGCCTGCATAAAGATTTGAACAAGGGACATCTTACAACACGGCTTTTATGATCATTGTGAAAACACAAAACTTACCTCACTCTGGTTGTTATCCAAACAGTAAAATGAGTGACAAGCGGTAAATACCGTAGCAATATTTAGAGTTTCCCAGTTCGCGAGAGAG